ATACAAGGTTGGCATCTTGTTCCCATTCTTTCACTGTCGAAACAGTTAAATGTAGCCGTCACTTCTACTCCAACAACGTCTTCTCTCGCACTTTCCGACGTTGGAACTCCCTTAGTTTTTATTGCTACCCTGATAGTTATAATGCTCATATATACAAATGTAATGTCTATCGACATCTTCAGATTCTTGTCCTTCCGTTTATCCTTTTCCCAAACACCCCTATTTAATCTTGCACTCACTCTTTTGTAACCCCTTGTGTACTAGTGCTTGAGGTGATTTATATATATATATATATATATATATATATATATATATATATATATATATATATATATATATATATATATATCCTAGGAGCACCAGAATATGTGACAGAGATATTACATACACGGATGAATAATAGACGCATAAATGTGCAAGATATATTCTGGAATTAAAATTTAGTTTGCACGTCATAGAAAACTGGTTTTTATTCCACATTATGACAGTGAAGAATGTGAAACGAAAATGTGCAGTAATTTTCTCTCCAGGAGGCTAGCCCAGACCTCCAAAAAAAAAAAAAAATAAATAAATAAAATAAAATAAACGGTTCTCTAAGCTTATTTATAGAAAGAAGTTTCGTTTTAGGGGCGCTTAATTTAAAAATCCACTTCTTGCCTACGCACACAACAGAATATAAATTATTTTCTAATAGATTTGCAAATTTCATTTTCCAAGATCTTTCAAATCAATGCGTTTTACCTGGAAGAAAGTCACTAAATTTCTTAATACTAATCTTTGCTTCGGCCGCTGACGCAGGAAAAATATTAACCAAATTTCGAACTTGCCAGAAAATATTGAAAAAATTGATAAAATAATTTAAAACAATTTGGTCTCCTTTTAATAATAACATAAACATTTTGACGATAAAAATTTTTTTTATCAATTTCGTTTTTTTTTTTTTTTTCATCATGTTACGCTTTTCTTCAACGAATTTTTGAACGTTCTTTATATACAGTGTAGAAAATTAAAAACAAGGAATGTTAGAATACCACAGCGAGACGGATGTATACATGTGTTGATAGATAGATAGAGAGGAGGGAGAGAGAAAGGGAGATAAACATTTTATTAGAAAACTACTGATGCCCCGAAAATCTGATCAATTTATATTAAAGTATTATTGATAAAGGTTATTTCATTTCCATAAAAAAGACTGATGATTCAATTAATATTCGTTTCACAGGAAAAGCATTTTAACTTCTCCGTGTTTTTACGGAGCTTTCTGACTTGCATACAGAATCTATTCAATAGATTGTTGATAATTTCCTCCGACAGTCGATATAACTCTTTTTGATCCTTGTACCATTGTTATATAAATAAGTGACTATTTATTAGTAGCTTCCGTTCCGCTTACCTTTTATCATATAAATAAATTAAAAGATAACCTCTATATTCCCAGATTATATTCATTCATTTGTGCCGTGTAGATATTATTCATGATATATATTTTTTTTTTCTACATTCTTCATTTTTTATTTCCCTTTTTCCTTTCATTCTAATATTTTTGTCTGTATAGTAACATTTCATCTATTTCTTTTTGTAACGTTCACTCATATTTATTTGTGATATTTCGTTTTTTATGATTTCTGTATCTTTTATATTTTCATTTTGTATACCTGAAACATTTTTCGTTTCCTACATTTCTACGAATTTTCCATATTTTCTTTGTATCACTAATATGTCTGCCTTCTTTCATTTTCTTTCGTTTCTTTCTACTTTCTTTTCTCTTGCCTGTCTATCTTTCTTTCTTTCTTTATTTCCTACAGTGTTTCTTTTTTCTCTCTGTCATTCTTTCTTTCCTTTAGTATTCATTTCCTTCGATCTTTATTTCTTTACTTTAGTATTCATTTCCTTCGAACTTTCTTTCCTTCTGTCTCTCTTTCATTTTTTATGTCCTTTCTTTATTGCTCTATGTCTTTCTTTCATTCTTTCTTCCCTTTTGTCTTAATTTTTCCCTTTTGTATTTTTCTTTCCTTGTGTCGTTCTTTCTTCCTTTCTATCTTTATTTCTTTCTTTTGTTACATTTTTCTCGCTTTCTTTATTTCTTTCTCTCTGTCTTTCTTTACTTCTGTCTTATCTTCTACATTTATTATTTATTTCTTTGCTTTCCTGATATTTCTTCTCCTTTTTCCTTACTTTCTTTGTTTTCTATCTTTTCCTTTTCACCGTCTAGTATAACCGTTTTTATTTTTATTCTAACATTATATTTCTAATAAATTCCTTCACTCATTCAGTATCTTTGCTCGCATACATTCACTCTTCTCTTTTGTCTGGTATTTCTTCAATTAAATACCATTCTCTTCATTCCTCCTATCCCTTTCTTTTTTCGACCAATCCTTCTTAATTATTACATATTCTAATTCTTTGTCATCCCCCTTTTTATCGGCGCACTGATGATTCGTATTTCATTTTGTTTTTACATTCCTATCACATCACGCCAATTTTGCTTCGTTCATCTTTATTTTTATATTCTTCTATTTTCATCTTTTACTAATTTACAAGTTACCCATTACTCCAATCAACCGATATGATAGCCATGATTTTTATCACTTTTGCAGTTATAATGAATCATAGATTTCCATCATTTGATGGTATTTCTGCAACATTTTAAACCACGTTCTTTTTTTCTATTTTTCATCCGACACACCCAACCTCATCTCCAACTATTTCTAGATCGCGTTCCTGCATCTTAAGATTATTGTTTTTATTTTATTAGCCTATTGTCTTTTCTTGACAGTATCTTTTCCTTTTTTTTTCTTCTCCCTCTCCACTCCCGGTGCAAGTGAATCTCTCGCCGTCTTTTTGCTTTCCAGCAATTCAACATATTATTCCTGTTTTGTTTTCTTGCAATGTTTTTGCATTCCCGTATTCCCAGGCAAAACGTTCCCGCTAAACGCGATATAATCTGGCCTATCTCATTGAGCTTCTTAATTGAACACGGATCAAGTCGCATGTAACACTTCATTCTCATATATGTGCGATAGCATTGAACTTGATGAGATATGAACCGGGGTGACATTAAAGTACAAATGGGCACTAATTATTAGCCCGATTGATTGTTTGCTTTTTTGTTCATTTAGCATTTTCATTGTTCCTTTTCAATTGTCACAGAAGATCAAATATCATTGAATTCCCAGCGTATCTCTTATGCTTAAATTAGAATAATTTTCAATGAAATTAGTCAAAACTGATTATTACATTGTATTTATGCAAATAATTCGGTTGAGATATAGGAATCTTCCTTTATAGAAAAGATAACTGGACATATATAATTATATAAAACTATTGTGATGCCCAAAAGCCAGCCAGACGGATTAGCTGGGAAGGGAAAATGAGACAGTCAGGCAGATAGGAAAATAGACAAAGATAGATAGACGGATAGTGTGATATATAGATTTAGGATATAGGTCTGAAAATTAAAAGGTGTGCAGCATAAGCTTTGGGCGAAAGTGGGATAAGCGGATTGTGTTAACATCTAACATGATATCTTGTGAATATATATATGTAATCTTAGCTTTCTGCAATCATTGCAGTTTTTTCACATGCTTTTGTGGCAGGATAAAACGTGGCTTCTTCACTATGACAATGCACCGGCACAAAACCTCCTTAGCATCTAGCGGAGAAAACCTCACTGTAATGAAACAATCTTCCTATTCACATCATCTTGCTCCGTGTGACTTTTTCTTGTCCACATGTACAAACGGATAATGAAGGGGACCCCTCTTGAAAACGTGGAGGCCGTCAACCAGTCCGTATCGACGGAACCGAGGGACATCCAAGAAGTATCGTTCCAGCATTCCATAGAAGAGTGGACAAGAAGGATGGCTAATTGCGTTAGAGACGAGGGGGATTGCTGTGATTGGGAAAGCATGTACTTTTTATTTTGAACTTGAAATAAATTGTTTGTGACAAGAGTCACTTTACTTTTCAGATAGACATACTACATAGTCAAATATAAAGAATTATTTTATAATTGTATTTAATCTCTAAAAGGCCAAAGCACCACTCGACTTAGATGGATACGGTATAAGAAGTAAATTTATAGGGATATGTAGGGCATATAACGACTGGGCATAGTCTTGAACAGGCAAAGATTAAAACGATTAGGGTAGCCGCCCTTGGGAATCATTTTCACACACCAGCGGTTAATGCGAAGCTGATCGAGTGGAACTTTCAACTCACCAAAGGAATCCAAAGGAATGGGAAATGGCCTGTTATTACTGGGGGAAGGAAAGAATGTAGTTCGTCTGAATAGTTTCCATGCAAATAGCGATAGTGCAGCGAGAGGATTGGGCGTTCATCTGTGGGAAACGGGTGATAATTTGATAAATAATTCGTCACCAACAGGGATCCGGAAAAAGATTTTGGACACTGTCGTGACTGGAAAATCATCAGCGTGCATTTTCTGTCCGTATATGGAAGCAGTACTTCATTTTCGGTCAGATCTGGACATTCTAAAGTAAATGGATGGCAGAAGGAGTCAGATATTTACTGGAAAAGTAGTCTTCATCTATAACTATGGATCATATGTAAGTTCCACTTGAGATCATGGGTGATATGAAGTCGTAACAGACGTTCAAGTGTTGATGCCTTCCTTAGGGGACACCAGGTGATCTCGATTGGTGTCAATACTTGGTTTGTTCAGTGTTGATGGAACATAAGTAGTTTTGTTTTCGAGGCATTGAACGTGACCAGCCAGTGCTAACCGCACTGAGATCTTAAAGCTATGGCAGAGGATAGATCATCTGTCAAGATCTAGTTCCCTAGATTTTGGCGGTGTATCCATATAGTTTATTTACTTTATTTCCTTCATTCTATCTTTCGTTCCTTTTTAATTCCTTATTTCTTTTTCACCTTCTTCGTTCATTTACTTTCTTTCTTTCTGTGTCATTTATTTCTTTATATTTTCATTCTCTCAGTCAACCTTGGGAAATCTTTCTTTCTTCACTTTAATTCTGCATATGTCTTTTTTTTATTTCCTTTTTTTCTTTACTTCTATGTATTTCTTTCTTTCTATTCTTCTGCGTTTCGTTCTTCATTATAATCTGTATTTTCTCTTTCTTTCCTTCTGTCTTTATCACTTTCATTTATTCTGTAACTCGTTCGTACTTTACTACCGGTTTACTTTCCATTTTCCCTCTGCCTTTATTTTCTGATTTCATTCTATATTTCTTCCATTCTATCTTTCTTTCTTTCTTTCTTTCTTTCTTTCTTTCTTTCTTTCTTTCTTTAAGTCTTCATCTATTTATTAATCTATTTCCTTAAATATTTCTGTATTCTTTCATTCTAACCTCAAGTTCTTCTTTATTTCCTTCTTCCTACTGTTTTTTCTTTAATTCTTTCTTGAGTTCCTTCTTGCATTTTTTCAATTTTCATTTGTTTTTCTTTCCTTTCTTCTTTCATTTTTTGTTATTTTCTTCTATGTTTATATACTTAATTCTGCATTTCTTTGCTTATATTTTTCTTTTATTTCACTGCCTTTCATTTTATCTGTCTTTCTTTCTTTCATACTGTATTTATTTAATTATTTCGTTCCGTTTTTCTTTCCGTATGTATTTCTTTATTTCATTCTATCTTTCTTTCCTCATCACGTTTCTTTCTATCGTTATGTCTATCATACTTTCCTCACGTCGTGCTTTCTATTAATTTTTTTCTTTCAATATTTTTCTTTTATTCTTTCTTTTTTCCATTTCTTATGTTAACTTTCTTTCCATTTCTTATGTTATTCTTTCAATCCTCCCTTAAATCTTTCTTATTCTTCTTTCCATAAGTATTCCATTCTTTCTTTTTTATTTATTTCTACCCATAAACATTTTTTTCGTTATTTAAATCAATATTTATTTCCTTAGGTCTTTATTTCATCACGTCTTTCTTTCTTTTCATCTTCTTTCTTTCTTTCCTTAAGTTTTTGCTTTAATCGATTGACTCTTTACTTCTTTCTTTTCTTAAATATGCCTCACTTTCTTTCTTTTTTACTATTTTTATGTCTTGCT